ACTCTTTCCAGTAATGAGCAGTTTGTCTCTCAGCCTTTGAACCATTGTTCAAATTTAAAATCCTATACTGTGGAAAGCCTTGAGAGGAAAAACAGTAGAAGCTGAGTTGACATTAGGAATTGCTGTGATCTTACTCATGCCTTGGGAGTTCAGTAACAATTCTTGAGGGTGCAGTAGAGAAGGAATCTGAAAGAGCAGAAAGCATATAAGGATACACATCTAGCTGAAGTTCTCCTTCCTGATCCAGTTTTTCCCTGGATCCAGTTTTTCCCTCCCCCCAACCCTGCAGGGAATGGGGGTTTTAAAAATAAAATCCCTCTCTAGTAATTGCTCTCTCCCAGAGGAGTATAGCCCAAAGTGCCTTTGCTGGACTGTGTCCTGGGGTTTGCCTCAGACCTTGGGAATCCTACAGGCAGAGAAGGAGAAGCCTTTGGGACTGCATTCCTGAAAGGGCTTCTCCTTCCCCTGCTTTCCATCCAGAATTGCCTCCACCACCATCACCCAGTGCTGCCCACTTTCAGGCAGGTGAGGAAGACTACTAGCCATCAGCTTGAGAAGCTGCAGGAAGGAGGGCTGGCTACCATCACTGCCCAGGAGAGGAGCTTCTCTAGCAGGGGATGCTTTTAGGGGACTGGCATCAAGCAGGCCTGGATGTCTGTCAGTAAGTCGACTTCTTGAGTTTTATATAATAAAGTTTGCTGGGTCTTGGTCATAAGAATCCCCTTAGCCTGCGTGGTAAGCCAGATCCCTAAGGTTCATGATGTGGGTGAGACTCAGCTGCCACCTTCCCACACATTTAGCACCACGTCAGCCCGGCCCCGCCTTCTGCTTTCTCTCTGTGCCCTGGGCCCCTGCCAGGCTGCCCCAGCCCAGTCATTCTGCCAGATGCCCAGGCCAGGCACTTTTCAGTTCTTTTGGAACTCAGATGCATCAACAGCCATATGTTCCCACCTGCTTGTTCTTCAATCCATTCCACCTCTCAAGCTTTGGGCAGGCAGCTGCTGGAAACGTGCTTGCTCTGAGCTGAAAGAAACCATCCTGTTCCTTCTGTGCAATCTGTGCACCCTCTCAGAGCACTGAAGGTGTCCACGGTGGAGCTTTCTCCTGGCTACTCTCCGTATCGGTCCCCTTCCTGATCCAGAGTATCATCCGCTAGAGTTCTTCTCCAAGCTGGTCCACATCTGCTTGGCCAGTTCTAGCTAGTGCCATGCTGCCTTTTGGGGGGGAGAT